AGGCAGGAGACTTGCTCACTTAGCATGCTTGCTACTTTGTCTTTGATCCCAGCATAGTGGTGTAAATTAGGAAGCCCCCTGTGATCCCAGCACTCTGGAGGTGCAGGCAGGAAGAACAGGAGTTTTAAGAGTGTCCTCTAAGTTTGAGACTATTCTGGGCTGCATGAGACTGTCCCCAATTAAATAAATAAAATAGAAAGACCAACATCAAAGAAATGAAAAGAAAGAAGGTTTTATGCTAACTCATGAATTGGTACCATTTTCCCCCCTTCTAATGGAGATTCTTCCCTACTTCTTACTTGGGTGGAATTCATATTCTCTTGTAGAATGAACTCCCAACTCCTGGCATTTCAAGTGAGAAATGCTAAGCTTGTGACAGAAAAATCCACAAAACCCCTTTTCTAGCCTCTGCTCTTTTTATTCTGAAGTGTACTTGTCTCACCAGCCAGGAACCTCGATGGTGGACCCACACCGGGTAAATGAGCACAGAGGTGATTTTGTGCTGTAACCTGCGTAATTCTCATGCTCTTGGCATGCACAGACAAAGCCAGTGGGTAGGATGCCTTCAAGAAAACAAGTCACCTTGTCCAGGCTGACTTTTGAAAACATCTCTTGGTGCGTCTTTGTCATCAGATGCCACTCTTGTCCTCATGCTGGTTTCCACTGCACACACACACACACACACACACACACACACACACACACACACACCCTGCTCCATCAGTACTTCAACACTAAAGCAGTGTTACCCACAACTCATTCAAGCATGCCTCTGGGATTTTTAGCTTAACTATTTGTACGTTGGAACTTCCTTAATACCTGAGCTACTTAACCTCTACTTCTGCCTAAAACCAATAGCAGTGGTGGCTGAGGGTGGAGCTGTATTGCATCACCACATGATGTGTCCTGAGGGGCTGTTCACCTGCACACACCCTGTCAGGTCCAGCCCTTGCATTAACATGCATGACTCTTAGCTACACTGGTTAACTTTCACTGATTTACAAAAGGCCAATTCATATAATCAATGCCTGCCCTTTCCCCTGGAGCCCTGGCTAGGATGTGTCTGAAGTAATGATAATAGGTGCAAGACTGAGTGCTGGGTTTTTTGTTTGTTTGTTTGTAAGTTTGTTAGTTTGTTAGTTTTGTTTTTGTATGCTTTAACTATGCTAGTTCTTATATATTAAATTCATATGACATATAATGCCATTTCTGACCTGATACCTGACTGATGGCCCTACAGCCATCAATGCTGGCTTTGGTTTCAGACCATCTAGACACACATAACATCCTCAAACTGCAAAAGAGGATGGACTCTTTCCCGGCTTTGGCCATCTTCATCTTCCCAGTGAGGCTGAGTGAGTTCCCACTGAGGATATTGATGTCATCATCAGCCGTGTAGATTTGACTGTTATCATGGTAGCAGACTGACCCGCCTTCTTCCTGCTGTGGCTGTTAGGTTTATAGCTTTCTTGTAACTGCACTGTTAGCTTTGGCTTAAGGAAATCTAATAATGCCAAAGGACTAAATAAATGAAGTTAGTGTGTTAGTGGTTTGCTCAAGCTCTAAGTACAGGACCATACAATGTCTTGCCATGTTCTAATCTATTTTAGAGCTGACCCAGCTTTACCAAGGACAAATTCTGTGACTTCTTTCTTTATAGGAATTTCCCATGAAGTAATTAAGCCACTGAGTACATTTTTTATGGTTGGTTGTGAAGTATTTTACTTTAGTTCAGAGCCCTTGGCAGAGAGGTGATTAGAGCCCTCCAGGTTGAGCAGGAAACACTATATACTCAGGTTCTGCATGGGCCTTTCCTGTGGGTAACCCATGTGGTGATTCATGCATGTAATTCAGTCAGTCAGGAAGCTGAAGCAGGAGGATTCCCATGAATCCAAGGCTAACCTGGCCTCGAGACAAGTCTGGGGTGTAGAGTGAGATCTTGTCTTGGAAATAAAAGGAGATGAGGCCGGAGAGCTAGATGCCCCAGTATTTGCTTGTACGTACATGACTTTCGGGCTGACCACATGGTTTTGGGTAACCAATTTGGGGAAGACTATGTTTTCTAATGTCAGAATTTCTTGGTAGCTTATAGTTCTTTGTGTAGGGTTGAGGTCCTATTAGTTTCTCTTTTTTGTTAGCATGTCTATTGAAATCACATACACGAGCAACGCAGAGGCTGAGCAGGATGTATTTATGTATTTAGAAGTATGTATTCATATATATATATATACATATACATATACATATATATGTGCATACACATACACGCAGAGGCTATGAATTTGATATTTGATAGAGAGCAATGAGAAGGAAGTGTTGTAGAGAGGTCAGGAAGGAGAAAAATGACGAGTTTTTCCTTTTGGTGGTGGACAGGATTTCTCTATGTAACAGCCCTGGCTGTCCTTGAACTTGCTTTGTACATTGACCAGCTTGTCTCAAACTCATGGAGATGGTTCAGTCTATGCCTTCCAAGTGCTGGGACTAAAGACATGCTTGAAATTAAAGACCCAGCTTGAAATTATAATTTAATATATATTTTAAAGTTAAAAAAAAAAGTACTTGTACTCTTAGAGAGGTCTGAAGTTCAGTTCCTAGTACTACTTCAGTAGGTTCACAACTGTTATAACTTCCTGCTGCAGGGCAGGTAATTCCCTCTTCTGGCTTCTAAGGACACCTATACCCACACAAATGAAAATAAAACAAAATCTTAAAAATAAAGCAAAGTCAAAAAGAAAACCACCAACATAGAGAGCATATGGTGTTTCTTTGTTTGTTTTTTTTTTGTGAGCAGCTAGTTTTGAACAATGTTTTTTTGCTATATAAATATGTAGCTATAAACTAGATAACCCTTCAGAGTCTCTCATGCCTGCCCACAAGCATTTGTTCTAGCTCTCAAAAATCAGGAATTCACATTGAGACAGTACCCTGAAGATGAGAAGAAACTGGTCACAAATCCATGTAACAAAACGTCGGAAGGAAAAGACACGATTTAATATGAGATGATAATCTTCCATATGCTCCTTTATTTTATTTTGTAAAAAGAGATCACTTTGAAATCTCCCTATGAGTGGGCTGGGTCTTACTTTGCATATAGTGGAGTCAACACATGACTAAGCAGAGCAGCCACAAGGACCCTTAAATACAGCATAAGTAGAATCAGTTGGGAGCCTCTGATGCCCAACCTGGCACTGCCCAACCTGACACTGCTCAGTATACATCAGAGCCTGTGGCCCACCTTTTCCTGGGTGTGAACGGCCTGACAGGAGAACTTCCGGTGGAGGATGGGTGTGATAGGGCCAGCCAGGGTCCCGTAGCCTCTGTAGTGGTGTAAACCAAGCTGGTAGTAATCTTTCTCCAGTTAAAAGCCCGTGATTTCCAAAGGCTCAGCGGTTTGCTTTGCTTAGGTGAGTCATAAAGCTGGCTTTGAAGACAAGAGTATAAACTGGAATTTTAGAAAATGTTTTGGCTACGTTAAGTGTTTAGCCTTCTGCTTCAATAGGAAAAAAAAAAACAAAAAAACTTGGTCTCATCTTCTGCATGATAATGAAGTAGGGTAAAATTAGTTCTCCCAATTAGGTAATCTCTTCCTTTTAGTCAAAGGAGGCTTAAAGCTGCAGGTGGTAGCTCTCTTTCTGAGAGAGCGCACAAAGACTGAGTCATTTCCTAGTAAGCTCCCATGGGTGCCTTGGCAGTGGTGGGGGGGAGTGGGGTGGGAGGGAGTGGAGGTGGGGTAGGGGGGAGTTTTAAATGTACTAATAATGCAATCATTCTTTTCTCACTTTTTAAAAATTGTTTCCTTCACCATGTACATCTAGACTATGCAAAATAATTAAGATTATTGTTGCTAAGCAACTTTAGAATGTGTTAACGCTTGCAGAACAGTTTTTCTTCTTTTCTAAGTAGCACAACGCTTTGTAAAAAAAAAAATCAATTTTTAGAGGATCAAATCAGTATTTTGGGCTGGTTATGTATGTAGGATAGTTGATAGAATGCTTGCCTGGTGCATAGGAAGTCCTGGCTTTAATCCCCAGCACCAAATAAAAAGCGGTGATCCGATCCGGTGCAGTGAACACCTGTAACTCTAGTACACAGGAGGTAGAGGGAGGGGAAGCAGAAGTTCAAGATCATCTTCAGCTTCAAAGTAAATTCAGGGCCAGTCTGAGATGCCTGAGACCTTATCATGTACCAGCAAACATGGAGAACCCAACATTTAAGTTAAAAGTATAAGAGGAAAAAGAACATTTCTGTTCACTGTGTGGCATATTTAAGTAGTCACCCAGCCTGTGGTAGCCTAGTGGGGAGCAGTTCTGTGAGTGTGGGTGCTCCAGGACATTGATGCCACAAAAGATTTACCTGTTCTAGCCCCGAGACAATCTCAGGATGCTTTTGGACCTCCAGCTGGTCCTCTTCTTCAGTCTGCAAGTTGGGACCACATTATCTCTTTGGACCTTTTAGTTACCTTACCAGTGAGTACAGACAGACCTTATGGTAATAGGCCTTTGTGTGGAAGCTTGGCAGGTCTTTTGTGTTATGCTGTGTCAAAGCCCTTTGGTGAGCACAACTCTGTGTCCTGCTCTTCTTGGAGAGCTCAGGAGTTATGGCTGTGGCCCTAGTCTGCATCCTTCACTGTTTTCTCTCTGGCTCAGCAGCTTGTGAGTTTGGATGAAGACACTGAAACCTAGGTACGATCTATTTCATCACAAGTGGGGAGTAGGATGGGACACATGGACTCAGGGTACACTGAGACTTCTGATCTACCTGTTCATCCCTCCCCTTCCTAAGAGGTTTTTGGTTTTGATTGGTTGATTGATTGATTGATTGATGATTGATTACTATGCTTAAATACTTTTATCCAGCACTTGCTTTGCACTGTCTTCTAACAGTCAGTTTAAAAACTAGGTTCATTGTCACTGTGTTTCTGTTTTATAATTCTGTGGGTTTATTAACATACAGTGAAGCCCAGCCTCTCTTTAAATAGTTTATTTTTTTTTCTCATCCAGGGTTACCAAGGCATGGTGGATGGAGGCTCCAATATTGTGGAAGCCAAATGGGATTGTGTCTCCAGCATTCTACAAATAGTAAGTGCCATGCTGTTCTTTCTTTCTCTATTACTAAAGCCTCTGTTTTCATTTAAAACACTGGATGCTTGAGCAAGCTCTAACACATCTTCCCATCCCTGCTAGCTAATAATAAAGTATAGTTTATTGTTTAAACTAGCTATAAGGCCAGAGATCACTCATTTCTTACCATGCTCCTTATTTTCCTTGTCTCTGGGACAAATATCTGACTGAAGAGACCCAAGGGAGGACATAGTTGGCTCATGGTTCAGTAGGTACAGTCCTTCAAGTCTGGAGAACATGATGGCTTGAGTGGCTGAGCATTTCAGGCCATGATGGACGGTGACTTGAGGCCAAGCTTGTGACCTAGGGAGATTGTTGAGTGGCTTCTCTAGGCCTTGGCAGATCAGAAGAAGAGGGCTGGGGCCAGAACCTGAGAAGGTTGTCACCTTCAAGTATCACTCCCCAAAAACCACTTGGAATTCTCCTAGTCTCAGAGCAGCTGCAATCTTCCTAAATAGCATCACTGCTTGAGGACCAAGGGATCACATTCAATCTACAATATGTGTCGTTTAATTGTTTCTTACTCTATGTGTGTATGTGTGCGCCTATGTACCTATGTGTGCGCCTGTGCCCAAAAAGGCCAGAAGATGACGTTGAGTCTTCTTGGAGCTGCAGTTACAACATGACCTGTTATATGGTAGCTAGAATCTGAGGATGTAGTTCCCATGATTATATAGCAAGCAGTCTTAACCACTGAGTCATCTTTTGGGCCCTTTTATTAAGTCTTAAAAATATCAACATGACCTTAACTCAGGAAGTATCTTTGCAATACAAGCTTAGGTGCCTCAGCTATTGCTCAGTGTGGTACTTCTGGCAGATTTTTTTTTCCAGAGCAGATGAGTGTAGAGGTTAATTCGGTTTGCTGGTCCTGTGTGCTCATCGGTAAATCTCTGTGCCTACTGGCTTTTACATATCCCTTGGCACGGAGTAAAACAAAGCCTGGGAAAGATTCTGCCTGGCAAGCCCTTAGGGCTATGGATTTAACTGGGACACTTCATCCCTGTTCTAGCTTGAAGCAGACACAGCTAATTTCTGTGTTGTGCACAAGGAAGAGGTAATTGTTACTGGAGGCAAAAGAAAAAAGAGAGAGAGAAAAAAAAAAACGGTTGCTTGCTTTGAATTTAAAAGAAATCCGCCCAGGGAATTTATACCTCATACATTTCTGGAACCTTTTGGCTAAATGAAAGGTCCAAATTAGTTGAGAAGTAAAGAGAAGATGTAGAAGAAAAGACTTCATACAAAGCTCTTTATTTGTTGCTTGAGGCTTTAAAACCTAAACATTAATCTTTGACTCATCTTGAGTACTTTTTAATAGAAGTAAAATTAGCAAATTCACTCTGAAGGTGCTAAGGGCATATGCACTTTAACAAATGTCAAAGACTCAGAGACTGAACCTGGGAATTTCTTAGCTTCCCTGCGTACCTAGAGAGTGAAGGACATTTTGGCACGTTCATAGTTAGGCAGAGTAATTCTTTCAAGACAAGCACGTTATCAACACAGAACATCCCCTCTCTGGTGTTGAGAGTGAGATAGGAAAATAGGAAACACTGGTGTGTGTGTGTGTGTGTGTGTGTGTGTGTGTGTGTGTGAATCTATGACTGGCATCTGTAAGTGGGCTGCTCATAGTTTGATTCCCAAGGCTTTGTCCACCTTATCTGTTCAACCCTGGAGTCCCTGTGTTTCCTTTCAACTTCCATTTATAACAAGTAGCATGTTCTTCTGACTGATTTGAGGGCAGGCTCAGCTCTGCTCTGGGCTTGGCACTTGCCCTCCCTGGCCTGCCTCTGTCATGTCCAATTGTGTGTTTCCCATCACACTTAGGGATGACACTGTTAACCCAGGATCAGTATAGGTGGTGAGCTGACTTCAGCTTTTTTAGTAATTTCTAACTAAGGTTCCACTCAACAACGTGGTGGTAATTTTCATGTAAAATTATAAATTTCTACAGCTTTATAAATGAGCTATAGACATACAGATTCTAGCATGCAAGAAGGATAATGGGTTTTTAGTGAGCCATCTGCATTGAAATTCTGCCTGCAGCATGATTCAGCCTGGAAACCCCAATAGTCTGAAGCAATTGTCTCAGGAATAGAATCAACTTTTCTAAATTGATTCATTGTTTGTTTAAAGGAACCTCATTGTTCTAAAATCTTAACTTTCGTGGAAGGTGTGGGAAGCTTCAAGAAAGAGTTTCTCTGTGTGACCTTGGCTGTCTTGGAACTCACTTTGTAAATCAGGCTGGCCTTGAATTCAGAAATCCTCCTGCCTCTGCCTCCCAAGTGCTGGAATGAAAGGCATGCACCACCAGCATTATGCTGAGATCTTAACTTTTTGAAAAGCTGTATAGAAAATCAGGATTTCTCTCTCCTGGAATCTTGGGTATGGAACTTAAGCTTCCTTAAGACATAGCTTTCTTTTCTTTTTTTCTTTTTCTTTTTTTTGGGGGGGGGCTTACAAATAGACTTTTATTATCATTGAGGAAGAAGACACATAACCTGTGCAGTTTTCAAGAAAAGATGTTCAAGGTGTATGCCATCAGATAGTTGGGGGTGTGTGACCATTTATCATTCGAATTATGCTCACATCGTCACATAATGTTTTGTCATAAACGTATTGCAGTGTCTGACAACTCCTGTTTGGTAGCCGATAATACCTCTTGAGCAGCAGGCTTCTCTCCTCCCATGCATACAACTCCAAAGAGCCGTCAATAAAGGTGACGATGAGATAAATGGGGTCAACCCATAGTCACAAGATCTCTTCTGGGTAGTACTGAAATCTCTGCAGATGGTAGCCCTCCATGCTAAAGAGCAAGAGAGAGGATACAGTTGAACAGACGATCACATTCTTATCACTGATTCCGTACCATTCCGGGCTGTCTTCATAACCTTGGAATTCGAAACTTGCTACCAAATGTTCTTTAACAATTATTTGATTCCCAATCTCTTCCATCTTCATATCAAATGTGCAAATTTTGTGACTTTTTTGGGGCCACACCTGGCCATCAGGGTTATCCTGTCTTCCCTTCTTGGGGTCCAGAAGGCTCTTTGGCATAATGAGAATGAGAGACTGGTAGACACAGGGGTGGAGAATTCTGATGTCCTCAGTAAGCTGCTCATGAAATACACCTTTGGCAAGATATGTGGGTGTTTCTTACTCAGAAAGACCCATTTCTTCTGAGGAGAGCAGTAGAGTTCGTTAATACCGTATTGGAATACATGGACTTTGGAAATGAGGTGTAAGTCAGGAATCCTAAAGATGTGGAGGTCACCTGCGGTATCATCTGCCAAGACAATCGGGCCATCCTTTGTAAAGACAGCTTTTAGTGATTGACAGGGAAAGAGCAGCTTGTTAGTCGCCAGAGTGTCTCTGTTGTGACAGTCCCACAGTTTGATAGTTTTGTTTACGATACAGTGACCACAATCTGCATCTCAGGGAGAATTCTCAACATTTTGATGTAGGTGGGCTGTTCTGGGCCTACCCAGGTCATAACACCCTCGTGAATATCCCAGGTGGAAATCTTGGCCTTGGAACTCAAGATACAGACAACTGATCTGTCTTGTTGGATTCTTGTTAAGCCATGCCCTGAGAGATAACATGCATATCCCCAAATTCCAGACTCCACATAAATTTCCTTGTAAGTGAAATCTTCTGGCTTTGCCCGGGACTTGGTGTGTTCTTGCCATGTTTGGTAAACAAAGAACTGCTTCCATGTCTCTGTGCCCAGGAGCTGCAAGGTGGCAGAAGAGCCATCTCTTCACACATAACTTCTTTCCCAGGATATCACTGCTTGCAATTTCATTCCAGTCCTTGTTCACGTGGGAAACCTGTAGCAAACTGAAAGCATCCAGTTAGGAGAGGATTTCCAGCAGTGGCAAACTAGGCAAATAGAACTCTATCTTGCATGACCTAAGTCCACACTGACTCTTCTGAAGACGTAGCTTTCATAAAATGCTAGCGTAACTAGCGGTGACTTGTAGCTGATGCTATCCCTGGCGTGACGCAACAGAAAAGGCTGAGAGGTTTACGGGTGAACTCTCACTCTCGGATATAGTTCTTGACCCTTCTTGGGGACAACCCCATTGGGACTATACTTTTAAGTGAAGTCACCAAAACTACACATGTTTCAGATTCCTCTGGTTGAATAATCTGACAAATAGGAGAGCCAGGACAAGTTTGCTCTACAGGTCATGGCTGATGCCCAGTGGAGTGCCAGTTCATCCCATGTCAGAACGGCTTTGACCCCAGGAAGCTGGGAGGCTGCAGTGACCCTGTAGACACTTGCTCTGTCTACTCAGTGGAAGGTTAGCATCCATCCATCTTTCACGGGCATCAGGCTAGTGTGTGTGACTGACGGCCGAGATGAAAATGAGGAAACCCTGTGGAAAGTTATACAGGTATCGTGAGTCACGGCCTACGCCGATCCATCTGACTTTACTGTCAGTGAGCATGATTTATGTCCTTTCCAGGGTGGGACCATCATCGGCAGTGCACGTTGCCAAGCCTTTCGCAGCCGTGAAGGCCGCCTGAAAGCTGCCTGTAACTTGGCGCGCTTAGGCATAACCAATCTGTGCGTGATCGGCGGGGACGGAAGTCTCACAGGAGCCAATCTCTTCCGGAAGGAGTGGAGCGGACTTCTGGAAGAGCTGGTTCAGAATGGTATGTTTCTCTTTCTGTTTCCACTCATGTAAGTACTTTTCTCTGAGTAGCCTGCTTCAGGTTTTCCTGTTGGTGCTTTTTTAAGAGCTTAGGAAGTAATAACACACTGTGCATTCTTTAAGGGGGAGAGAGGGAAACAGTCATTTTATTTATAACTGACATGAACATACATACTTTTGAGCCATCTTTTTTATTAATATTTCATTTTAGTTTCTGAGATGTGGTCTCACTATATAGACCAGACTGGCATTTGAACACATAGACCTACCTGAACCTGCCACCTGCCAGCCTGGGGTTCAAAGTGTGTGCCACCACACCCAGTCCTAGCTTCAGTTTTAACTGCAGCCAAATTGTGGCTCTTATTTTGCCTCTTATGATTTGGCACCGCCAAGTTTAAATCTGTATCCCAGATAAGAAGAGTAGTGACAGTAAGCCCTACTGTGTGCTAGGTCCTACTCAACCCTTTTCCTAGGGAAGCCTGTGGAATCCTCATGACAGAAATCATGTACAGCCCCATCTAAGAGAGGAGTCCCAGGTCGTAGGGGAAGCCAGGCAACTGTGTCTGTGTGCATAATACCTGCCCTTGGATGCCAGCATCCACAGTTCTGCCATCAGGTTGTATTTCTGCTGTTAAGCTGGGATGTCTCTAAATCTGTTACAAGAATTTAATTAAAAGATGCTGATCTGCTTTCTTTCTCCCTCTCATCCCCCCTCCCCCCCTTAACTTTTAAATTTCTTTTGGCATTATAAATAATCCTAAAGGATGTCTGAGAACTCTATAACCTCTTCTGATTATAATTCCAGTTCTTTATCAAATGTCATCAGCAAGAGTGTGCTACACAAACAGTAACTTCATGAAAACTGGAAGTGAGATAAAGTGTATGCCCTCAAATTTCATTTTAAGAAAACTTCAAAAGTCGACTCAGGAAATGGACCTGGGAGGCCTCACTCCATCTTCTTATTCTCATACCTGATCTAGCCCCAGCCCATTGATGACTACGAGTAAAGACTTAAAAAACCCGCCCCCATCCACTAAGTTCATCTATGTAGAACTACCTGACCAGTTGTGTTTATCCTGAGAGAGCTAGTGGCATACTTACTAGCTAGTTTCATGGGCCTCATTAAGACATCTATAGGAAGGTGATCATACGTTTCTATAGTACTTAATTCTGAAATTATGATGTATCCTTATTCAAAATCATTATTGTCCAAAGCCATTGCGAAGAAACATGTTTAAGTTTTTATCCTAAGTTGCAACATTTGGATCTTTCTATTTTTATAATCCAGTGTTCTTGCTAACTGGACAGTGCCAATATAATATATGTGTGTG